ATATAACCGTGAAATATTAGTAAAAAAACCATCATGAATCTTACATATATGTAACTCTATTTGAAAGAATAAGAATAGGCTTTACGGTTGTATGACATCCTTCAGTTCTTGTCACTGTCATCTGCTGCAACAAACAATTTGAAGTACCTCCTCAAATGCAAATTACACATATCTAAATCTCATACTTAGTTTCTTACTCTCCTCACAAGGCTTTCCTGAGACTGAAGATGGATGACACACAAAATAACACTAATTCCAGCTGAACCAGAAGGTACCTTTTGCAGCAAAACTGAGTATGATACCCCTTTGCTCCGCCCATCTCCCAACGCACACTCCCCCTTACTTGCCCTTGTTCCTTCAAAGGAGTAATCCATTTTCTCACACATCAGAGAATTTTCTCAGCCACCTAATTTCCCTTCATTGAAGCTTTTCTCTCATTCCAGAGTCACTCTTACTGTAACACTGAGCTCTACTTAATGCAGATATGAAAATTTTCTTTGTAATGCAATGCAAAAACCTTCACAGAAAGCAGTTGCCTTTACTCCAGACAATTAAGACCAATTATGGAATATCTGAACACACTACACACAGCCTTAAAGCCAGAAATCCTCTTCAAATTACCTCTTTAAACTGATGACATACTTATTATTTGATGGTGGTGTAACTTTGACCACCTCAGACAATTATTTAATTAAATGAGTAAATCTTTCAAAATTTTCTCAAATGAGTGCCAGAAACAAGTCCTGATTCATTTTTACTATATCCCCTAAACAGTATGGGGCAGGAACCTGTAGCATTAGTAATCTACCTTCAAATTCCAGCAGAAAGTACAGCCCTGTGTTGTCTTTCTCTTCTGGATTTGCAGGTGGCCTACTATCTGCTTGACTAGCCAGCAGGAAAACAGGGTCTGGGTGAATAGCTAGTAGCTAATACAATGATTCAAACCAGAACAGAGTGAAAACACTTTGACTTTCACACTGATGTACACAAACAGAGCTCCAGCATAAGGGAAATTAGGATTATCACATGACCAGCACTGCAAATCAGGAAGAGAAAAAAAGAATAGAGACACAACACAGTTCAGTCAAATTCACTGACAAAGCAGCCGTCAGTTCAGTCTTCTGAGAAAAATCTGTACTTTTTTTTTAGACGAAAACTGCCAGTTGCAGTACAGCCTTTCCTCCAAATTCAAACACTTTCATTCTGCATTCTGAACTCGTTAGAACGACAATAAGCCCATCACTGCATGCTCAGCAGCACAGACACCCAGTGTCTTCTCCGCCTCTGCTTCTGCAGGTCCACTAGAGGGAGATCCTAAATTAAACAACTCAAATGATGCCAGCAATCCAGCAGCTGAGGATGCCACCTGCAAGCAACGATCAAAGACATTTTTCAAATATATGCAAGACAAGGGGACTATATGATTTGGGGGTTTTGTTTGCTTTTTTGTTTGTTTTGCTTTGTTTTAAAGAGCAAGAGAGCCATAAGTAACAGCTGACTTGCAAACCAAAAGGATGGCCACAAAATATTCTTTAATATTCCTTGGAAGTCATTTAGATTTCTGTGAACCCTTGTATAAAGTTTAAAATTCATTTACAGCTTTATAAATTTCTGAACAGTACGCTCAGCTAGCAGCAAAACTGCTTCCCTTTTATGAATAAAATACAACTTAAAATAACTAAGCTAATAAAAGAAGTTGCCAAAATGAGAAAACAGCAGAAAATAAGGGTACTGCAAGAATAAAACTTAAATTGTAAGAAGTTCTAGAGTAAAAGAGAAGTTATCTATATAGGATTTCTTTATTTTGCTTCAGTTGGAGATTCTATATGCTGTTTAGAGATATGCCAGGAAACACAGCAATTTACATGAATTATTAGAGACAAGTTGTCCTCTTCAGGTACAGATTTCTGAGGCAGTATCATCAGAAAACCAACTAGGACTGCATGTATTAGAAAATTTTAGAAGTCTAGCAGATAAATTGGAAGAAACAAAACTATCAATACATAAAAGTACTGATCTTCACGTATTAGCAAACATTCCTTTAATAACATACACTTCCCAACATCTTTTCAAAAAAGGTAACAGGGAGGGCAGGGATGGGGGGCAGTTGCAACCCATTTCCTAAAATGAAGAGCTAATATTAGAGCGTCAGAACCAGCGACCTGTCTAAGCAAATATTCAACTATGAGAGAGATGCTAGGAAAAAAAAATTAAAACCAAGAATTCATTTCTAGTGGCACTTTTAGGAAATTATGCCAACTACAGAGAAAAGTAACACATTAAACTTTGAGTGAGGAGTCCAATTAGTTTGTTTCTGAACTGCAAGCTACTTAATATCCTATTTCCATTATTCAAGCAGTCGAGTTCAGAAAGATCCTTCATCTTTTTTACTTCTTATACTGATACAGGTCAGAAAATTAATATGTAAATCATACACTGACAAACCTCCCAAGCTGATAAAACCTAGCAACACTTGTTGACAGCATTCTAACACAATTCTATATACATAATTCCAAATTTTTTTACAAGCAGCAATGCAAAACTACCCATCTCCAGAAACCTGCCAAAGCGACACTGGTAACTTTTAAGCTTTGTTTTTATTTCATCCTGACGGAAGCTTGAGCACCTATATGTCTGTGAAACAAGTACATGATAGATAATATTTAAACAGCCACAGTCCTGCCTGTGCTGGTGGTGTCCACTACTAGTTTGTGATGCAGCTAATGCGCATTTTGACTAGTACCTACTGCTACCAAGTCAAACCACAGGCAAGAGAAACAAAGTGGCTATATTACAATCCAGAAAACTTAACAGGTTACAACCAGCCACTATCAAACATAATTGCCCAACTTAACTCATGTCCTTGTCAGATCTACATCTCAAAGCTGTTAAGAAGGAGCTAGGTAGACTACAGCACTGCAGGCAGCAACGGGAACATGATATTACAGTTATACTCAACTCTCATCCGATGAGCCACACAAAAATCCACCTGAAAACAAAACAACCCCCAAGTCATCCGAGATTAACTGGTATTACATCGAATGAAGCAGACAGACTCCAACTGAAGGGCCACTTCAGAGACCAAAAACGAGACTACTGGCAGAATGATTTGGAAGAATGCACAATTTGTCATGAGCAGAGGGCTGAATTCTAAGTACCGTGATTTTTAGACACATTGCAAAGCTCAACTCTCTTCCTCCTCCCCCCCACCATTTAAGAAATTACTGAAGTGATAAAACAGGAAGAATCATTATTTTCATTGAGTTGTTTCCTCCTGTGGAATTACATTCGATTCTAGGCTACCGTTTGATGTTTTGTATTACTAAAGTTACATTTAAAGAAACCCCTAAAAATTATTTTATTTTTATCCAAGTATTTATAAACTGAAGTGGCATCCTAGTTCAATAAAATTTCTACTACTGAAGAATATAATAATGTAGTTGTTAGCCCACATATACTTTGCATAAAGCAGCAAGAGAACTAGTCATTACACAAATCACAATCATCAGGAAACTTAAAAACAGACACACTGACCAAGCAAAAAATGAGCACTGTCATACCAGCCTATGTCATTTTAGCCTCTCTAGTAGCTCAGTTTTAGTGTTAGAAGGAGTTAAACGCTGAGAACAACAACAACGAAAAATATATATGCATATATACACGTACATGCTTGTCTGAAACCTATTGTACCAAACACTTAAAGTACAGGTAATGGGAAACAACATAGAACCCTCAAATTTGTGGTAATTACCATAAATCAGACCTTTTCAGACTTTACATCAAATGAGTAGAAACCAACACTTCATGTGTTCCCAAATGTTGGCTGGGAGATAGATAATAAACAGTCTGAATGCATGAAATGTTTACCATCAAGTAACCCATAGGGAAAAGAGAATTGAGAGATTTAGAGGGGCAAATACTCAACACATGGATTATTTTCGCTTGCAAAAAGATACCTTATACCTCTAGCTACCCTTTTTCTTTTGGCCTCGTATGCTGCATAACAGCATAAGCACTGCAGAATGTATCATCCTTCTTGGTCTAGTCTGCTGAGTTTCTAAGTCTTGAAACAGCTATCAGAATGAAAAGCAACTTGATAAAGTCACCCTTTTTTGCTACAGTTAAGACAGCCCTAGTAAGGTTATCTACAGCCTCTCTCCTACACAAGAGAAAGCAAACTGGCACAGAAGTACTATCTCCTGTTACATGGGCAATCTTTAAACTTTAATGAGGACAAAAGAATTCTATTTGGTTACAAGAACACAAAAGTCTCTAAGTCTTTTAAAATAAAAATCTCCCCTTGTGTGTGTCCCAGTATTACACTGACCAATCTGCTGTAGAGACTTATCTAGAAAACATTACAGACACCACCTGAAAACTGAAAGCCACTACGTTTTCCACCAATGTTTTAAATCCTCTATGTCATCCTGTTCTCCAAACAAATTAAGTGATAGATCTGGTGTCTAAATTATATGTGCCCATCTTAATGCTACCTCTAGATCCAAGGTCTCCAAGCTAGAAAACTCTGTATGGCAAGAACTGCCAAAGAGGATGACCTGAATTCCAAAGTCCAGAGGAAAAAACCCTAACATTTTCATAATAAACCAGCACTCACTGAGAAGGAAAATACAAATACACATTAAGAACACTGGATGTCTCTAGAAATCCTGAGACATACCCTGATTAAGAGCTACACATTTGCCAGTCAGGTGTTTTCATTTTGTTTCCTAAAAAAAACTGCAAAGTCAGCAAGTCTCTATATGTAATAGATAACATGAGAACAGGTTTGTCAGGGATTGCATTTACACAGATGGCAGTCAAGTTGAGAATCGCTACTAAGCAGCAGCAATTAGGCAGACAAAACACACAAATAATTAAAATGGCTAAAGGCTGAATCATTATTAGAAACAAGACTTGTTGACTTTTATGCATAAACATTTGAATTTTTTCCATCTCTGTATTTGAACAATCTCCAAAAAAAAAAGTTAAGTGACTCTTACCAGCTTCCTGTGAATTTAATACTTCTAAGGCATGCATCATGGCACTTGCGAAGACATTGGCATCTTCTTTGCTGCCAAAATTCAGACCATACACCTGCCGAGCATCACGCCACTGATGGAAGGTCTGTGTAGCCTGATTGTACTTCAGCCCTTTCGGAATGGCACAATTTATTACCACCTATAATCATAAAAAAAACCCACTTACGTTTAAAATTGCTATTTCATGACAAGTTTTTTATGTAGATTTTATTCCCTAAAGAAGTGGGTTAATTCCAGTCCCACAATTCACCAGATCACAATGTTGAAGCACACAGCCATTTCAATTTTAATTCCAAGGCTGCATGAAATCAGTGATGAGGATACACAAGGGGACTAATGAGACACTTTGTATCAACTTTTGTAGTTTAAGCGTTCTCATTTCAAATGATGCAGGCATGTTCCCTAGCAGCAATACAGTAATACCAACAGTTCCAACTTTCAGTAGCAGAGTACTTGATATGAATATGCATTTGGATTTCAGAAACTCAGTTTTCCATTAACTTCACAGAGTACTTGTTAGAATTATGGTTTTTAACCAAGTTATCACCTTCTCACTGTGGCTGCTGCACCCTTTAGCTTGCCGAGCTTCCAGTGGCAATTCGTGTGGACTTTTTTCAAGATCACTATTGCTCACACAAATGGTGACAAACTCTAGCTAGTAGGACAACCATTTATTACAACCCACCCACTAAGAGGACCCCATTGCACTTGGATAACTATATCCTCTCACCTTTTTCCACCAAATAACGGGAGAAAAAAAACCAGGTTTGCTCTCAGACGAATGCACAGAGATCATTTATTCTCAGAATAAGTGTTTAATGACAAATCACACAGGAGATTATCAGTCTGTGCTTCAGGTGTGGAATAAATGACCAAGAACAGATTAAAAGTATTCTATGAAAAAATGCTGGGGGAGAGGGAAACAGATAGAGCAGCTTTCGTCGAACAAAAAGATTAGATCATTAACCCCACCCCAAGCATCACAAGGCAGAGCATATTTCAAGACAGAGTGCCGAGTTCACCATTTAATCAAGAACTAACAACTTCTTCATCAAGAAAATTAAGATGTAATGCTTGTTGCTCCTTTCTCAACCTCTCAGAGTGCTAGACGATCAGCATTAACAAATGTCAGAAGGTTTTTTTTTTGAATGAACTGACATGGGGAAATGAGAAATCACGCATCCAAATTTCATAATACAGGAAGAGCTAAAAGAGAACTGCTGGTACCTATGTAGACTACAGCTTAGAGAAGAGAGTAGGGAAGAAGAAAATTTCTTAGGTTTTGACACTTTGCCTTAAATAGGACCAGATGACTTCTGTGTACACCACTAGCCTTGGTATCTGTCTGTGGGAAGGAATGGTAGAGTGCACAAGGACTATCGCCTTGGATGTATGTAAAGTGCCTAGTTTATGCGGAAAAAGCCATAATACAGTTTTGATACTTCATTTCAAAATAAAAGTAAACTTATTACTTACAGTTCCCATAATTTTACTGAAGACCTATTTCTTGATGTTAAAAACAAACACAAAAATAGCTAAAGATTCCTGTTGCAAATTTTGAGAGATTTGCTTACCTGATGATCCTGAATCTTCCTGCCCACTACTCTGAATGTGTTGTTGCCTGTGTGATGATATATATGAACTCTGCTGAATCCAGTTGATCCACCAGCTGGTACCCATTTCTTATTGGCATCATCATAGACCATTACAGCAGCTCGTGCTTGGCAGATACTCTGTTCACTGTTAAAATACAAGTATTTCAGAGTAGAACGTAAAGATGGTGATTTTCCATAAGTAATTTTAAGGTTAACTTTTTCTTAAAAAACTCAAAATATTGAAGTAATACTCCATGCAACTTGCTGAAACATGCATCTTTCCCAATACAAAACCACTAGCACTTTGGTTTTTGTTTAAAGATGTTTGTTCTGAAAAGTTGTGCTCAAGACAAACAGGCCTACCTCCTAATGAAAGGGACCAAGAAGAGATTTACTTTTACTTTTTTTGCCTTTTTTCTCCCTGCAGGTTTTCTTTTCCCTCCTTTCTCCTCACCACCAACCATGAAGTTTAATTAAATGCCATAATCACATACAAAGTTCTCTGCAAAGACTGGAGAACACCAGCTTCATACAGTTTACATTTTCCAGTGGCAATTACGTCTACGAGAAATGAGGATTGGAAGGCTCTTGCTGTTTTGAACAGATATAGAAGAAAACAAACACAATGAAGTTCAGCACAAAAAATTCACCTGCTCATAAACGAAATGCTTTTTGGTGTCGACATATTTTACAACAGTTGACACCTAGATGTAGCATTTTCTCCCCGAAAAAAAGGTTCTATTGATTACCGAACAGCACAATTTCATCAGCAGCTAACCCTGATTATGGCAGTCATCCGGAAGCTAAGGTACAGCCTCACGTTGAAAGGGAACATATCATCAATGTCATCATATTAGAAACACAAGAAAGCAGAACATACCATAAACACGCTTTTTACTAGGAGAGGAAAGGGTGACACTACACAAGTTGTCTTTACGGGAAATGTCCAGATGTAGACAGGAAATAAAAATAGAAAGGAATGATTTCTTATCAGTAAGTCAAATTCTCTGAACATACCACTCCAGCACATCCAACGTTATAGAAAGCACATGATGCCTGGCTTGCAAGGAATGCGGCCTGCCATTCGGAAAACTGAGAAGGCTGAAGAGACATGCATTCTTCATAAATTACAAAAGGAAAGTAATGAAATATTTCTTCATATTTTAGGAATGAGGAACAAGACTACTCCCTCCCAGTCTTTCTTGGGGTCGCTTTTTTTTTTGAGGGGGGGCGAGCTATTGGTTGGTTGGTTTGGTGGGGTTTGTGTTTGTTGGTTTTGTTTTTTTTTTTAAGACCATGTTGAATTTCCCAATATCTTATTTCCATCTCCTGGAAATATGTAACAAGCTCTTTTGTTAACTTTCAATACTGATGTTTTTGAGAAAACAGAGCATGAATTTCTATCACACTTTCCATGGCACTCCAACATCTAGAAAAGTGCTCAACACTGGGATGCTTTTCAAGGCTAGGGGAGAAGAGAGAATACTGAGAACATGTCTCTTATGCATCCAAGAGATTCAAGATCAAATGAGGAAATATATTCTTAATTTTAAAGACACACATGCTCTAGTCTCATCACCTATTCAACAACTAGATCAGAATGGGATAACAACCTCTAGTTAGAACACCCTTTTTTCTAGCCAGAAATTAGTTCAATTATAATATAGGCATATATAGTGCTTCTTTTCTAAGCATAGTTCGTCTTACAGTTTACAACTTAGACCAAAAGGACAACATTTGATCCAAGAAGAAAGATTAGATGCAAAGAAAATAAAAGTAGTTACAAGTTTCAGGTGTTTCACACTCCCATTAAAAAAATGCCACAGATAAATAACATTCCCTCATCTGAGAGGACAATGCAAGAACCTACTGGATTTCTTTATTTTTAGAGTATTTCGGCACACATCTACCTTAAAGTTCAATCCTAGAAACATTCTGTACTGTTCACAAAGTACAGAACAAACAGTAGTGTTTTTTTCTAAAATGTGCAACAGTATTACAGAAAACTTCTGTAAAATTTCTGAACCTGAAACAAATTTTTGCTATGTTTGAATTTGGATCACTCACAGGCGTAATGAACCATAGGTGACAGGACCTAGATACTGATCTGGAGGCAGAGCCACATGAATTGCAGGGTTCTTGCCAAAAAATAACTTCATCTTAATCATATTCCAGATTAAAAAAAAAATCTTTTAGATTCTATTAAAAATTGAGACTATGAGTATAAGCTAATATGTTCCAATTGCAAGGAAGGTAGAACCAGAGAGCGTTTGAGTGACCAGACGACTTAATTTATAGGACAGACCATCAAGTTCAGACATTCTTGTTCAGAGCCCTGCTCTCATTCTTTGCCCTGCTATGGTCCTTCCACAGCCCTAAGTTTTTATAAAAGCCCTGGTTTTACATTGTTTTATTTAACATAAGAATAAACGCCTACTCATTGCAGAACTATTTGGTATTCAAGTGGCACAATTCATAAGTGCAAATAAGATGACCTTGAGTAGAATTTCTATCTTTTCTTTAACAACTGCTAAACTATTTTTAGTTCCACTTCTCAGGCTATGTCTTATAACTGGAAATATTATACAAGTCTAGATCTCAAATATTTCATGCTCCATTTAAAATAAAAGAATTTTCTTAATAGCAGGGGATTATTCTTAACCATATAAAGACACAAGATGATTCACATACTTTAAAAAATGACAAATACAAACAATTTCCAGTTGACCTATTCAATCATTACACAATATGCCTTCTGCCTTCATTTCACACAAACCCTGTAACTAAAATTTTAATGTTCCAGGTCTGTAATTATCATATCCAGGTACCAATTGGAAGGTGACATACTCCCCTCCTGCCAACGGTTCCCACCACCCATCACTTTGTTAATCAGACTGCAGCAGTAAGATGGAAAAATGAAGCTATCAGGATAAGAAACAAATTAAACCATCAGTGTCCTAGCCTTTTTCCAGGGTTCAATAATTGCACATTATGACATCTAGGGGAGATTAATTCAATTTTTTTCCTCTTAGTAAAAAGTTCTGCACTCTAAAGTGATTACATTTTCTTTTGAAGAAAAGCACGGGGGGAAGGAGCTTGGGCAAAGAAGAATCTTTAGGTCTGCTCTTCAATGACCATTTGACAGTTTAATATTTGAATACAGCATATAGTACATTCTAGCAATTAGACACCATAAGTCTCAAAAAAACTTAACTTTTTAAAAATAAGATGCATACCTGAACTCCATTAACCCCAAAGGGCTACACGAGATCAAAAATCCATGCTGTTAGCTCATAACTCTATCTTTGACAGGTCTAACGAAAAACAAGGTCTAGTTTTCTTTCCACGATCCACCTTCTCCTAGGAAAATCCTGAGCTTACCAGACAGACTCTTACTAGAACCTGAGCCAGTGCCCTTTGTATTCCTCTACTACACATTAAGCTAAACTTCAGTTCAAAGGAGCAGAAGCCAAGTGAATCAGAATAGTGTCGTTCATCATATTTCTTGCTCCTTGAGCTTATTACACTTCCCTCTGTACTTCTAACACAACACAGGTGTTCAATGATCTCAGTATTTATACATGAACTCTTCACAGTCCACAGGGTTTTCTGCAACACACACGTATGTCCCCTAGACTGCAGGAGCTGACAGAGATGCTAGAAGATGACCGACTTAACTCACTGCATCAGAATCACTTTGGTCTGGCCACAAACCCATTTTTTTAATGTACAGATTACTTTAGCACTAGTGGAAATAAACAAGTCATCTACAGTCATGTTGCAAGAGAAAAGGAGAAGGGTCTTCATCCCTTTGCCGTATCGTTAAACCTTCAAAAGCATCCTACAGGGTTTACTTGCCTATCTATGAATTTCCCTTTTTCTGGTATGCTGTACTGAATCAGCCTGAGCCTTCCCAACATGAGAGCTCATTAGGGGACACGGGAGAACGAGCAAAGGGATCAGTCTCCAGCTTCAAATGCTACTGCCAAGATGCACAGCTGCTCAAAGAACTGATTGTTAACTTATTAGGGCAGTGGGTTGGGGAACTAAAGTGACAATCTAAATATTAACTAAGAAAAATCAAGAAATTATCTGTTCCCAAATAAAATTACCAAACGAAGTATATAAAGTTATATGCAGAAAAGGGAAAATTCATAAAAGGGAACATTCATGCAAAACAGTGCTTACCAAACCTTAGGAAAGAAAGTGTACAAGCTCTCTTCCCAAAATGTAAAGCTTGACAAATAGCTGGATAAATATATGTTAGGAGGAGTTCTTCTCTAGACAAAGATGTAAGGCTCTGATTGTTAAAGCCAACCATTATTCTAGATAAGTCCACCTACAGCAATACCATATAAAGTCAAAGACAGGGTGGGTGTTTTTTATTTGGGGTGGAAGAGTGGGGGGAGGTCTGGCACTCAAAAGGCTCACACAAAAAACCACAGTAGTAATGAATCATAAGATTATCCTTATGGGAGAATATACTTTCCTCCTCCAGTGATGAGATCATACGGAAAGCTCAAAAACCATAGCAAATTGAACCCAAACAGACATCATTCTTTTGCCCAAATGGAATGCGTTCGTTCTTTCACATCCCAACTTCTTAAGCTCGGTGTGCAGTGACACCAATGCACAGTCTGCTGACCTAAGCCTTTTTTTTTTTTTCCTCTCCGCAAAAAATAGATGCTTGGTTTTCCTCTCTCAAGAAAGAAAAAGTATAAACAGACCTAAATGATCAAACTCATATGGAAAAGAGCATGACTGCAGCCACAGAAAAAATCATTTACAAGAGCAAGGAAAAGCTGCGATTGCTCTGATTCTCGACCTTTTGAATTTTTGTCACTGTTTTTTTTGAAAAACATATCCCACTACCACTTCTTCTAGAGATTCAGGGGTTTTGTGTTATGTTCTGAATTTACAGAAACATAACAACATGTTCTTAAATATGCAGTCTTTGTGAGGCAGAAGGAACGGAAAGAGATGCTGATTCATCAAACGCCTGTTTAGGATTTTCAAACCATGTGGCATGAAGATGGAAAGAAACTTCAAACACTTCCAATACTAACATCCTAAAATGCACATTTTTTAAAAGCAGCTAAATGCTGGTCCAGATATCAAGTTTTACATCTTGGCGGTGGTGT